TTCAACGCTTTGATGGAAATTCTCAATGCAGCTTCAAAGTTTCGTGACACAGTTATTATGACGGGGTTTGTCACACTTTGGGGGGGGGGGGGGATCCTGTATAATTTTTCCACCATTGACGTAACTGCAAACATATGCATGAAGTAATTCAACTTGATAAGGAGTGAACATATACATATCTGAGACAATTGTTTGATATTTGAAATGCGGCTGACACATTTTTTATTATATTTTTTAAAATGTCAGATTACAGTAAATGTGTTCCTTAGATGTTAAAATTATAAAGTATTTCTCTTTTTTTTTCTTTTTTTTTTAGGGGGTAGATCAGCTTTAATATTGCAGATAGATTGTAACTTCCATCAATGTAATTGTCTGCATCACTTCCAATCCCCCATATGTTTTTTGTTTTTCCTCGCATATATATATATATATATATATATATAATATATATATATATATATATATATATATATATATATATATATATATATATATATATATACACAGACATACACATACATACATATACACATATACATACATATATATATACATACATATCCTTAAAAATATATATATATTTCCCTTTATTACTTTCCAACCCCACCATCCCTTCCCTAATAAGTAAACTAGTGAACAAAAATGTTTAGGCCTCTACTTCATGCTTATACATACTATAAACATTTTAAGGACACAGTCAATAATTATATTTTGTTTGTTTTTATTCCTGAACTTCCTCCGATCATTTTCATGATGTCCATCTGGTATGCTTCTAAATGCCATATCTTTCTAACTGTGCTCTTTCACAAAAACTCACAATATATAACGTATATACTTATTATGGACACAGCATGTCTTACACTAGTTATCTTGTTGTTATTAGTTGTTGTTATTACTGTAGTCCCATCCTTCAGCTCCATTCAACACCTCCCATCTATCTCTTAACACCATCCATATTGGATTTCTATTTGCCATATATTTTTCAACTGTACTGTGATGTTTTACAAAAGTTCTGAACCTTTCTATTCTCATTGTTTCTACAATTTGTGAATTGAAAATAAACATTTTTGCTAAAAGTATTATTATGTTATTGATCGATTGACTATGACTTTTCAGATCACCCAGTAGTGCTATCTGCAGGGTCAGCTCCATGCAAATATTGGGCATTGTCTGGACCTGTGTCCAGAAACAAGCTATAAATGGACAGTACCAAAACAAATGATCTAATGATTCTGTCTCTTCACAGCCAAATCTGCAGAGCTGGGTAGATTGTATACCCCATACAAATAACATTCTATTGGTAGCAAGAATTTTATATAATAATTTAAATTGAAAAATTCTACGTTTTGAATCCGGCGTCGTTTTGCGTATCAGTTCATAAACACTATGCCATGGAATCGGTACGTCACAAATCTCTTCCCAACTATTTTGCAATCTATATGGGATGGCTGTCAATCCTTTGGTCCTTAAATGAAACTGGTAAACTTTTTTATTTATCACAATTTTCTTTAACCAATTATGTTCTTTAATGGAAGGCTTACAGACAAGTTCCTTACTTTCTCCTCCTTCCACTTTCCTCTTCCATTTTTGCGGTAATGCTGCAATTATTTGCTTGTAATTTTGGGTAGAGAAGACATTTTTGTGTATGGGTTGTCCTCTGTAGCTCAGCTGGTAGAGCAAGGCGACTTGTAACGCAAGTAGTGGGTTCGATCCCGGACACCCATACACAAAAATGTATGCACGCATGACTGTAAGTCGCTTTGGATAAAAGCGTCTGCTAAATGGCATATTATTATTATTATTATTATTATTATTATTATTATTATTATTATTATTATTATTATTATTACATTTCCATATGTTTTTGTTAGCTGCATGTGCGACATAACTCCACCATTCCTACCGATAATATAATTTACTAAGATTATATATATTTTTTAAATTTTCTAAAAAAATAACGTTTTTTTATCAATTAGTATATTTGAGTTTAACCACAATATTTGTTGCCATATTTGTTCTGTCATTTCTGGAGGATTAAATTGAAATTACAACCAACTTTCTATGGGTTGTTTTAGAAATAGTGATATTTGGGAGATAATTTCGTTTTCAAATACCTGAAAGTGAGGGGTTGTAATCGGAATAAAGGGAACAAGTCCCTTCTTGAACATTGGGTGAGACAATCTTACTAGTTTGCTAGAGAACCAGTTCGGATTTAAGTATAATTTTTGTATGACTGAAGCTTTTAGTGACAGGTCTAAGTATTATAAAGTATTAATGACATGGAAAGAAAGACACAACTACAGCAGCTGTGTGAAGATGTCCTGAAATGGACACCGTTTAATCTGACACATCTGTTCCAGAAATCTACACCATACGTATTTCATACAGTTTATGTACTTTATAAATCTGACACCAGCATTTTCCACACACAATGAAATGTTTTTTTTTTTTTTTTTTTTTTTTTTTTTTTTTTAACAGGATGTCCTGAAATGGACACCATACTAACCTGAGGCAGATTATCTACTTTGATAACTCTGACACCAGATACAAGTTAAAGCACTTATTTTCCGCCTAAGAAGAAACATAATGTTTTCTCAGGTGCATAGACACATTACTCTAGCGTTCCAGGCTTGGACAGAGTTTTTGGTGGCAGCTAGGTCTGCTAGGTTCACGTCTAGCCGTGGACGTGGAGTTCCTAGTCAACCAGTCAAGCAGCATGTCAACCGATGCATTTAATGCCCCAGCCAACACCGTGCCTTTCCATTCAATAGGATCTTTCTTCAAGCAGAGAGAGCGGTGCAGCCTCTCAAACAAAGGCAATTGAGAATTAATGGTGGTGTCTTCCTATGTTGGTTCACCTGTTACTATATAAATAATAGACCTATCTATTTCAGACCGAGTTGCGTTGCTCTATCTGTTATAGATGGAGCTATGTTTTTCAAGGGTCTATTGGGATTTGTCCAGAAAACACAAATTGCCCATATTTCCACACACGGTATAGTTTATGATAATTGTTTTAACATAGTACTTATAGATGAAACAGAATCTCAGACTTTCAAACGTATTCATTATTTAGGCGCAGATGTACACAGGAATTATTGAGGAATTTGATCTTAACATTAAAAATATATATACAGTGCTATGAAAAAGTATTTGCCCCCTTTTTAATTTTCTCTACTTTTGCATATTTGTGATACTGAATGTTATCAGATCTTCAACCAAAACCTAATATTAGATAAAGGGAACATAAGTGAACAAATAACACAACAATTACATATTTATTTCATTTATTTCATAAACAAAGTTATGCAACACCCAATTCCCCTGTGTGAAAAAGTAATTGCCCCCTTACACTCAATAACTGGTTGTGCCACCTTTAGCTGCAATGACTCCAACCAAATGCTTCCTGTAGTTGTTGATCAGTCTCTCACGTCGCTGTGGAGGAATTTTGGCCCACTCTTCTATGCAGAACTGCTTTAACTCAGTGACGTGTGGGTTTTCAAGCATGAACTGCTCGTTTCAAGTCTTGCCACAACATCTCAATTGGGATTAGGTCTGGACTTTGACTAGGCCATTCCAAAACTTCAAATTTGTTGCTTTTGAGCAATTTTCATGTAGACTTGATTGTGTGTTTTTGATCATTGTCTTGCTGCATGACCCAGCTGAGCTTCAGCTTCAGCTCACAGACGGATGGTCTGACATTCTCCTGTAGAATTCTCTGATACAAAGCAGAATTCATGGTTCCTTCTATTATGGCAGGGTCCTGAGGCAGCAAAGCATCCCCAAACCATCACACCACCACCACCATGCTTGACCTTTGGTATGATGTTCTTACTGTGAAATGCAGTGTTTGATTTTCGCCAGGCATAATGGGACCCATCTCGTCCAAAGATTTGACTCAAGTTTGCCAAAAAGCACCTGGATGATCATCAAGACTCTTGGAAGAATGTTCTATGGACAGATGATTCAAAAGTATAACATTTTGACGACATGGTTCCAGTAATGCCTGGTGAAAACCAAACTCAATTGGAAGTTTTGGAATGGCCTAGTCAAAGTCCAGACCTAATCCCAATTGAGATGTTGTGGTAGGACTTGAAACGAGCAGTTCATGCTTGAAAACCAACACGTTACTGAGTAAAAGCAGTTCTGCATGGAAGAGTGGGCCAAAATTCCTCCACAGCAACGTGAGAGACTGATCAACAACTTCAGGAAGCATTTGGTTGGAGTCATTGCAGCTAAAGGTGGCACATTTGACATTTTAGTCGACGCTCTTATCCAGAGTGACTTACATGAGCAATTAGGGTGAAGTGCCTTGCTTAAGGGCACATCGACAGATTTTTCACCTAGTCGGCTCGGGGATTAGAACCAGCGACCTTTTGGTTACTGGCACAACGCTCTTACCCACTAAGCTACCAGTTATTGAGTGTAAGGGGGCAATTACTTTTTCACACAGGGGAATTGGGTGTTGCATAACTTTGTTTATGAAATAAATATGTAATTGTTGTGTTATTTGTTCACTTATGTTCCCTTTATCTAATATTAGGTTTTGGTTGAAGATCTGATAACATTCAGTATCACAAATATGCAAAAGTAGAGAAAATTAGAAAGGGGGCAAATACTTTTTCATAGCACTGTATAACCTCAAGTGTATTATTCATTCATTAAAATTTCTGAGAAATCATAATCATACCAATATTATATCCTAGTAAAATATATATTTACGTGTCAAAGTCAAAGTAGATGGCACCACGAGTGACAGTGTGGCAGTAGGATCAAACATAGCAGCAGCATTGTTCACAGCAGAAAAATCTGATTGAACGTTCACAGGAAAATAAACAGATAGTCTATGAAAATATCAGGGTGTCAAAACTTGCGGTTTTTATGGGATTATTACTCTGACATTCTGCATTATCTTCTAATGACTGGTGTCTTTTCATGATAGAGAAAGCCACATAGAAGAGACAGTTGTTTGTTCACCCAGTCATTTAGAGCAGTAAATGATGATAGCACAGCAGCAGCTTGAGACCGGGCCCGCCCTGACATTCAGGCTCATTGCAGTAAATAAAGGCTTTCAACACACAAATTGGCCCTCAGTCTGTCTGGATGTCTACAGACCTGCTTTACTGCTATTTAAACATAGCTACAGGCTCTGACTGACTCTGGTTCAGGTGTGTGTGTGTGTGTGTGTTGGAAAAATCCCAAAATAACTGAAACATTGTCAAGTAGCACTTGCTCGATAAAGATGTCAAACTTAGTTGTTCATTTCATCCTTTTGTACAGATTCCGTACTTTACTGTACTTATCCCCTTCTCTCCACCCACGACTCCATTTCACAAGGACTGTTGTCCTGAATCTAAACCACAACTGATGGCCAACAGCTGGAGGTGGATGGAAGGGTTAACTCATGTTTGAGTGGAGACTGGCTCTGTGTGGTGTTTGACCATGTTTGAGGTGTTTCTAGTCTGTCTGTGAAAGCAAAGCAGCACGTCTAGTGTTGCAGTCAGCCTAGTTGTCCCAGGCTGCGTCGCTAATGGCACCTTATTCCCTATTCCCTGCATACTGTACTACTTTTGCCCAGAGCGCTATGGGTCCTGGTCAAAAGTAGTGCACTAAATAGGGAATAGGGTGACATTTGGGATGCAGGCCAACTGAACCTATAACCCCCCTTCTTGTCATGTAGGTCAGGCTTTAGGGGGATTAGATTTTACCACCACTCTGAAATCAGAGCCCTCTTTTGTCAGAGCAGAGGAAGAAGTAAATTGCTTTAGAATAGATTTTATCAACAGCCATCAATCAGCGGGGCGAAAGACATCTCAGTCACACACACACACACACACACACACACACACACACACACACACACACACACACACACAGACACTTCTCAAAACACCGGATTAGGTGACACTCTCCAAATAGCCAGCTCAATTAACCAATCAGGTGCTTAGGTCTAAACAGGCCCCTCCAGCCCCGAGGGGAAATCCCGCCCCCGTGTTGGGGGGCCTGGAATCACCTCTTTGACCTCATCTGTCAGTCATAGAGAGGGGGGAGTGGACAGCAGGGCTAGAATCTCTCAGAGGTAAAAGTAACGGCTGTAATGGTACACCTCACAGACACACTCCCCACATCCTGCTCCTGCACCTCTTGGTAGGGTTAGCTCCCATGACTCTCTGATATCAATCTGCACACCGACTGATAGGAGTGTTGGCGTCACTGATACTGTGTCAACACAACGACACTCTTCTGGGATTACCTCAACACGAGACGTTCTGCTAAAAAAGTAATTACAGTGTCCTTATAATGTGGCTAAAGAAGAACAAATCATACAATGGAATACAAGAAATACCTTTTTTCTATAAATTAATAACAGTGGCTGACACCTTCCTTTAATGATGTGCAGGCGTTTGAAAAGATACTCAAGGCCATCGTAACCTTGTAATTCCATTCAACAGTCAGGTAATGATCTGTCGGCTAGAGGTGATGCTTGGCAAACCAAAATCAAGAAGTCGTATCTCATAATAGCCACTAATCTGTACATACAGAAATTGCTTCACTCGTGGCCGTACCAGGGTTTTTTCTGCATAGAAAAGTATTGGGCGGGCCGTGTAAGTGTTTTTTTGGCCCGACAAAGTGTTTTTTCAGTCTGCCTATGTCCAAACAGTAAAAATAAATAAATATATATAGTAAAGAAAATGTTTCCAGTGTAAACTTAAATGACTAAAACCAGAAGTAATATGTAGAAAAGATAATGGACCTACGTATTTTTAAATAACATAATCTTTAAGAACTAACTATCACCAAAATAAAAGCTAGACAGTCAGGGAGAATCTAAAATGCTTTTGTTATTTTTGTTGTAATGTTTGAGTCACTCAGATAGCAGCCATGGCAAAATGTGTAGAATTGCAGGAAATTAGCTTTAAAACAGCATATGTCACTGCAGCCAACAGGAGGGCCTCTAAAATATTCAGTCGGCGACTGCACTATTGACCAGGCCCATGCCCCTTGTCACACCCACCACCTAAGCCCCATTTTGATCCAGAAAAAACCCTGTGTACGTTGTACTTCTTTATTTCTCTTTGTCCTTTTCCTTTGATAGTATTTAATGCACCGGTAATTGAAATGCCCTTTGAGAAATTATTGGAAGTTGACTTTCTTTTACAAGATAAGCTGTGTGAAACACGTGCCGTGCTATGAGTTATTTCAGTTTTATTCAGCTCCTATCTCAATTTAACCGAACCGCTTAAAAGAATGTCTTAGAGACTAAAGGGGGCCTTTTGTACATGTAACTCTATGATTCCACCCTATTTTTTGGGGTGTATGTATTCCTCCTCACGGACTCGTCGCCTCCTCCTTAATACTCCAGTTACAGCGCCTAGACGCTGGGTGTAGTGATATATTTGACCTCATATCCTCTGTCACTAGGCTTGTTCCAACATTGTCCAAAGGATTAGGTTAGTTGATGGAACTGAATACTCAGTCCTCCCTCCCTCCCTCCCTCCCTCCCTCCCTCCCTCCCTCCCTCCCTCCCTCCCTCCCTCCCTCCCTCCCTCCCTCCCTCTCTCCTTTACTCCCCCGGACCCAGTCTGTTGGACAGTCTGAGACTGTGTCCCAATTGGCTGCCAATTCCTATAGGGCGCTGGTCAAAAGTAGTGGACTATATAGGGAATAGGGTGCCATTTGGGACACAACCTGAGGGTGCCCCTCTGCAGCTGGGTCCACTGAATAAGGAGTCACCTCAACCCCTCTCTCCCCACCTCACCCCTCTCACCCTCCCCTGTACAAGTGGCCCATTGTCTCCCCCCTCCTCCTCTCTCCCATGTCTGCCTGAAAGCTGCTACCTGTTATTATGTGGGAGAACAGAGAAAAGGGAAAAAAAGACAGGGAACTTAATCAATGGTCTCTTTGTGACATCTTACCAGCCACCCTCCTCTCCGTTTGGTCGAAATGCATAAGGATGCGGAACGGCGAGCCAGCCGGAGGCCAATTAATCTCAGCGCTTGATAATCTAATGATTACACGCTGGCAGCTCTGACATCACACCTGAGTGAGTTCTAGAACAGTCAAGCCCCCCACAGACTGGGAAAGACCTGTAGAGCACATGACGCTTTAGGAATGTAGTTGTAGAGGTTTATGAACAGCTATGTTGGGCAGCATTGTAATATTGTAATGCATTATTACACCATAGTGAGCTCTAGAGACATGGGAAGACGTGTAGAGCTCTCAGAAATGACATGACATGTTTTTACTCCATGATAAAGAGGCAGATTAAATGTTCGGGACTACAAATAATAAAGAGAAGTGGATAACCTACATTTGCTGATCTTACTTTCGTACTGGAGAGAAAGTGACAGCAGTGAGCCTACTGTTTGTTTTGTATTGTACTGACTTCTAAAGGTCAATGATACCGTTTGTTCCTGCTTCTTTCTAGAACAGGTCCCTCTTTGTACTGTATCTGAGCTGTAATATTTGATTATCCCTCCCTCCTCGTATTTACTAGTATTTCAATTGTTATGTCACTCTTTGGGCTTGCCCCGCTTCATGCCTATTTCTCTCTCCGACTCTTCTCTCCCATCTCCTTTCCTTCCTTCTGTTCTGTCCCATGCCTATCTGACAAAGCTGCTGCGTTGTGTTCTGTTCTTTAATCCCTCTCTTCTCTCTCGGGTGGATTAGTAGCAGCGTATTTGTAATTGTGACCTCACTGGACTGTAGGGATAAGGGGAGGGCAGGTAGGAGGCAGGTTAGCATTATACTACGAGAGAGAGAGGAGAGAGAGAGAGAGAGAGAGAGAGAGAGAGAGAGAGAGATATAGATCGAGAGAGCGAGAAGATGAGAGTAGAGGCGATAGAGAGAGATCGAGATCTCTCTCTCTCTCTCTCTTAAGAGAGTCTCTCTCTCTCATCTCGCCTCCTCTCTCTCTCTCATCTCTCTCTCTCTCTCATCTCCCTCCCGCTCTTTCCTTTTTCAGCGTGCCGCTCTCTTGCTTGCTTCGTCCGCGAGTGTCCTGCATGAGAATTACTCTCCTACAATACCGTTTATGAGTTAGAAGGATGTGAATGGGGCTGACTAAGGACAACAGAGATGTTTTAGGATAACTTCAGTTCATTCTACATCTATTGAATGCATCTGCATCCCATCTGCTATGAGGAAGTATGTCTGAGTCACTAGGGAGGACCTGAGCGCTGATCTGAGATCAGCCACTGTTCAGTATGATCCAAAGACCCTGTATGAGAGGCCGTTCATCTGTCTCCATTTTTCTCCATCTTCCTCACTCTCTTTCTCACCGTCTCTCTTCCTGCCGGCCTGCTGTGGTGCTCCACCATAGGGAGCTGAAGTGGAATCTCCCCCTGAAAACATTAGCCAGATGATCTCTCTCTATCCACCTCTTTCCCTGTCTCTCCATCGCTCTGTCTCTTTCTGAGGGGTGAAGACAAGAGGAGTGTGCTTGGTTTAACAGATAGTCTGACGTGTCGGAGAAGACGGGGAGAAAACGGGGTCCGTGCCAGAGCATAATGACAGAGAGGCAGAACTCCTACAGGGCCCGGTGAGAAAAGGGTTGTGTGTTTTTACTTCCTTACTGGTGGCCTGGTGAAAGAGACATGGAGAGTTGAGGAAATGATGATTGTTTCGATCTGATGAGCTGAGGAGTGCCTGAGCGTGTTTAAGAGGAGGAGTGCGTAATGAGGAGAGTGGAAGAGAGACAGATGGCTTCGTCACACCTCTCTCTCTCTCTCTCTCTCTCTCTCTCTCTCTCTCTCTCTCTCTTCTCTCTCTCTCTCTCTCTCTCTCTCTCCTATTCTCTCTCTCTCTCTCTCTCGCTCTCTCTCTCTCTCTCTCTCTCTCTCTCGCTCTCTCTCTCTCTCAGACACCAGGTTATGTAGTACAGAGGTCTTCCAGGCCCCTCAGTGGTTTAATGAGGACTCTATGGAGGTAGGAAGTGTTAGGGTAACTTAGTAGGACTGATTAAAGGGTAATTCAATAAGTTGAAGAGTTCATGTTGAGTTCATGTTCATGTTTTTTTTTTTTTTTAGGGGTAGATCAGCTTTAAAATTGCAGATAAATTGTAACTTCCATCAATGTAATTGTCTGCATCACTTCCAATCCCCCATATGTTTTTTTTCTTCTTGCAAATACATACATACATATATACATATACATATCCTTTTTTTTAAATATATTTCCCTTTATTACTTTCCAACCCTTCCACCCCTTCTCTGTTAATTATTTATGCATAGTCACTTTAACTCTACCCACATGTACATATTACTTCAACTACCTCAACTAGCCGGTGCCCCCGCACATTGACTCTGCACCGGTACCCCCCTGTATATATAGCCTCCCTACTGTTATTTTATTTTACTTCTGCTCTTTTTTTCTCAACACTTTTTTGTTGTTGTTTTATTTTACTTTTTTATTAAAATAAATGCACTGTTGGTTAAGGGCTGTAAGTAAGCATTTAACTGTAATGTCTGCACCTGTTGTATTCGGCGCATGTGGCCAATAAAATCTGATTTGATTTGATTTGATTTAATTGGAGTAAACTAGTGAACAACAATGCTTAGGCCTCTACTTCCAGCTTATACATACTATATACATTTTATGGACACAGTCAATTTTACAATAATTATATTTTGTTTGTTTTTACTCCTGAACTTCCTCTACCCTCAACCTCTCCGATCATTTTCATGATGTCCATCCGGTTTGCTTCTATATGCCATATCTTTCTAACTGTGCTCTTTCACAAAAGCTCTCAACCTATAACCTATATACTTAAAATGGACACAGTATGCTTTACATTAGTTATCTTGTTGTTATTAGCTGCTGTTAGTTGTTATTAGTCCCATCCTTCAGCTCCATTCAACACCTCCCATCTATCTCTTAACACCATCCATATTGGATTTCTATTTGCCATATATTTTTCAACTGTACTGTGATGTTTTACAAAAGTTCTCTGACACGTTTAGATCCATTGGAGGGAAAACTGGTCATCTGTGCTTCTATGTGGGAGTTTAGTTTACATGTTATTTTTGTAGAGGAATTTCGTTTTTGTTGTGTGTCCTTACAAGTGGTTGAGTTTGTTTGGATGCCTCTGTGTGTGTGTCTGTTTAGAGTTGATGTTTGTCGGAATGTTCCTGTGTGGGTGTTTACTTTAGGCCTGTGTGTGTGTGTGTGTGTGTGTGTGTGTGCGCTTACATGTGTTTCCGTGACTGTATATGTCCACATTCATTAGCTGGGGGCGGCAGGGTGTGTACATGTGTTGGTAAGTAGGGTGAATGAGTGGCCGGGTCAGGCCCTGTGAGGGCTGTGATTGGGTTAGGAGGAAGTGCTGTGTGTTTGGCTTCAGGGAGGGGAGGGCTGAGTAGTGGAGGGTGATGGATCAGAGCTGGAGAAGAAGGAGAATTAGGCCTGAATTACACTACCCCACCCTTCCCCTCTATCAGACTGACTGGTTCCTTTTGGGTCACACACACACACAAACACACGGTCACGTACACACACACACACACACACACACACACACACTCAAACCATCCTCCACCCCCCTCTCTCCTCCTCCCCCACGCCATCTGGAAACAACTGGGCTATTCCCAGCCATGCCCACAGACCGGGACACCCGGCACGCATTAGGAGGAGCAGGGGCCAATTTATTAGCCCCTCTGCCCCACTCTGGATCAGGTTTCTAGCCCAGACACATGGCTCCGTTCCCGGAGAGCACTGAGCACGGGACGCCCTCGCAGGGAAACCCAGGGGCTTGGAGGCTGTCTGGGTGGGGAAGAGGGAAGATGAGGAGGAGGGAGAAGAGAGTAGGGGAGCATGGGGGGGTCTTTAACCCTGGGATAGTGACTCAGAGCAGGGTCTCACATATGTAGAACAGCCCCTGGCTCTCAAATACAAGACACCACTCCCCCTAGTATGATGATTAGTGTGTGTGTGTGTGCGTATGCATGTGTGTGTGTGTGTGTGTGCATGTGTGTGCGCGTACATGCATGCATGTCTGTGTGTGTGTGTGTGTATGTGTGTGCATGAGTCCTGTATGTGTTTTGCATGGAGATGGCACAAAGGAATTGTTATTGCACCACCGGACCAGTCCGTCCATTGGAGTGATGAAGTGAAGGGAGCCGTCAGCTCATAAGGTTACCATTGTTCCTGTCTTCTTTTTTCTCCTTATTTCTCTTGTTCCTCAGAACTTAGAAAGAGATGAATGATGTTTGGGTTCAGTGATGTGACCAAATCGCTCCAAATCACAACCTGCTCATATAACTTAGAGGGAGAGAAAACACACGCCAGAGAAAGAGAGGGAGGGGGGAGAGGGAGAACTAGAGGTAGAGGGAGAGAGGCTAAGTAAACATTTCCAGTAGAAAGCACTCTGACATGATTTGCAGCAAGTTATGATCTTCTTTGCGTTGGCAGACCAGTGATGGTTAACAGTCCTGCCTCATAGCTTCATAGCCAACATCTCCTCCCTTTCTCTCTCTCTCTCTCTCTCTCTCTCTCTCTCTCTCTCTCTCTCTCTCTCTCTCTCTCTCTCTCTCTCTCTCTCTCTCTCTCTCTCTCCTCTTCCTCCTCTTCTCTCTCTCTTCTTGCGTCTCTGGCTCTCTCCTCCCTCTCTCTCTCTCTCTCTCTCTCTCACTCTCCCTTCCTCATTCTCTCCCCCCTTTTCTCCTTCCATCCCTCACTCACTAATCCTCCCTCCCTCATTCCTATGTTACATATCTGGCTCAGGAAGAGACATATCTCCATGACAGAGCGAGAGAGAGATGAGACAGACGTATATCTTACCTCAATGACCACATCCTTTCATCCTTCCATCCAGACTCTGAATTGAATTCACCATGTCCAGAGTGACACTCAGGTCATAACCAGCTTCTCATTTCGCTTTCCAGATACCTTCTGATACGGGTCCTTCAGTCATTTATTTTACTCTGCACAGTGAAATGTTTCTATCTCTTTCCTTACGTCTATTCCGGAGAGACATTGCCTGTTGATAATGAGAGATAGGTCTATACATCTATATTGTAGACTAATACAAGCGACGCGCTAGTCTCACTAGAGAGAAGAAGGAGTTAGCATCTAGAAATAAATATCTCTGAGACGACTCTCTATCGATCTCTCTCTCTTCTCTCTAGCCTTCTCTCTCTCTCTCTCCTATGCTTCTCTCTTCATCTTTTCCTCTCTCTATCTCTCTCTCCTATCTATCTCTCTCTCTCTCTCTCTCTCTCTCTCCCCCCTCTCTCTCTCTCTCCTCTCTCTCATTATCCTCTATCTGCCATTCTCGATTCTGTGTTCTGAGCGGTACCTCTCTTTCAGCCTGTCTTGATAACCTTCACGGTGCATTTTCTTTTTCTCTTATTTTTATATGTGGCGACTTCCTTCCATTTAAAGTTTTCGGTTCTAGCTGATTATGCCCCCTCTTCTGGTTTCAGAGCACTGCTGTAACTGTAACTCACCCCAGGAGTTCCAATTTCACACCATGTTCAACAGTATACAAAAAAAAAAAAAAAAAATCTGCAATGCTACATTTCTTCCGTAAAGACCCCAAACCATAAGTCTCTCTGCTTAGACTCTCTCACCGGCTGGCTTCTATCGTCATCCACTACCACTCTGCCTTTAGTTAAACTGTTCTCTTTCTCTCTCCCTCTCTCGCCTCTCTCTCTCTCTCTCTCTCTCTCTCTCTCTCTCTCTCTCTCTCTCTCTCTCTCTCTCTCTCTCTCTCTCTCTCTCTCTCTCTCTCTCTCTCTCTCTCCATGCTGCCTCCTGTTCCTGCTCTCTTTCTCTGTTCTCTTCCCTTCTATTCCCATGTTCGGTGGCCATGCCCTCTTGTTATGTGAGGCTGCTACACAGAAGCTGAGAGAGAGAAGAGACAGAGACAGAGCAGACTAGAACCCAGGCTGTCTGGATGATATAGTACTGTCACTGCAGTATCTGTGTTAGTGTCTGTGAGGAATACCATGGAAAGTTATAATGATGTAACGCCAGTAAGAAACATCAGCCGCGTCATCATCATCATCATCATCATCATAAACATCATCATTCTGCCCATCCTCAACCTAGCTATTTGTGACAATTTATATTAGGGGGTGTGTTCAGCAGTTTGCCCCACGCTTGTGTGTGTGTGGTCACATGATAGTTTGTGTATTAAACAGAGACACGGTGTCCTCCTCTCTCGCTCTCTCTCTTTTCTCTCTCTCGCCTTCTCCGCCACTCCCTCGTTCCGCATCTTGATGACTCCCATAATCTGCCTGCTGCCGTGAGATTAAAAAGAAAAACCGCCCTGTTTTATGATAACATTTGTGGGATAAACAAAGTTGTTACAACCTCCACTGTCTCCTTCCTCTTTAATCTGCTTTCTTTGAGTTCCAGCAACGGTTGTTAGGTTGTTATACAATGTTTCCATTGTGTGTGTGTGTGTGTGTGTGTGTGTGTGTGTGTGTGTGTGTGTGTGTGTGTGTGTTTGTGTGTGTGTGTGTGTGTGTGTGTGTGTGTGTGTGTGTGTGTGTGTGTGTGTGTGTGTGTGTGTGTGTGTGTGTGTGTGTGTGTGTGTGTGTGTGTGTGTGTGTGTGTGTGTGCGCATGTGTGCATGCATGCCCGCATGTATAGTATGTCTACTTTAAGTTCCAATCGGTTGGTTGTTATAAGATCTTCCAGAGTTCCCATTGAGTGTTGTCATCTAGCATGTAGGCAGCAGGCAGGGAGGGTTTCAGTACTGAACCAGCCAGGCAGGGTTTCAGTACTGAGCCAGGCAGGCAGGGTTTCAGTACTGAGCCAGCCAGGCAGGGTTTCAGTACTATGCCAGGCAGGCAGGGTTTCAGTACTGAGCCAGGCAGGCAGGGTTTCAGTACTGAGCCAGGCAGGCAGGGTTTCAGTACTGAGCCAGGCAGGCAGGGTTTCAGTACTATGCCAGGCAGGCAGGGTTTCAGTACTGAGCCAGGCAGGCAGGGTTTCAGTACTGAGCCAGGCAGGCAGGGTTTCAGTACTATGCCAGGCAGGCAGGGTTTCAGTACTGAGCCAGGCAGGCAGGGTTTCAGTACTGAGCCAGGCAGGCATGGTTTCAGTACTGAGCCAGGCAGGCAGGGTTTCAGTACTGAGCCAGGCAGGCAGGGTTTCATGCAGCATAGTGAGGAGAACCAGATCCAGCCAGAGCTGAACCAGAGCTGAACAACCCAGTAAAGTAGATGCAGATCAGCCACCCTGACCGGCTCTGTCTGCTTCACATTATGGCAAGGATGCCTGTATTCATAAAATGTCTCAGTGTAATAGTGCTAATCTAAGATCAGTTTAGTCTTTTAGAGCATAATGATTAATATTATAAGAATAGGGAGGATCTGATCCTAGACCAGCACTCCTGCTCTGAGACGCTATATGAATACAGTCCTGAACCGTGTAAGAAGTTGCAGACGCCCCATGTCTGCTTCACATTACGGGAAGGATGCCTTGTGCCTTGGCTCTGTATCATTCCAATGAGCAATCCCATGTTTATTTAAGAGAAAAAAGAGCCACATTAAAAACAGTGGGCTAGTGGAGAAGCCTGATGCTTCCAAGCTGTTGCATGGGAGAAGTGTCTTGGGGGTGTTTTTTAAGGAGTGAATGGTGGCAGTGGTAGTAAATGGTGATGGAGGAATTCTTGTGTGTTCATAGTACATGAGCTATGTGTCCCTGGCCTTAATCCTCTCTCTCTCTCTCTCTCTCTCTCTCTCTCTCTCTCTCTCTCTCTGGCTCTGTCTCTCTTCCCTTGTTTCTGTCCCTCTTGCTACACTCTATTTTTGTTCCACTCCTGTCCTCCTTCCCTCTCTCATGCTGCGAGGCATTGATCTATGTGTTCATACTGAATGACATGTGACACACATGAGCAGAGTGTGTTGCTCAGACCTCTGTGGTACCAGATGGCCTTACCGAGAGAGAGGGGACAAACACTGCCTGAGGTGGCTGGCTGCACCCAGCGCCCCTGTGAGAGCTGACGGAAGGGGTGGTTTGTAAACAGGGGGGCAGCAGGGTTGTGTGTCCTGGGGAGGAAGGGGTGGTTTGGAGACAGGGGGGCAGCAGGGTTGTGTGTCCTGGGGAGGAGGGGGTGGTTTGGAGACAGGGGGGCAGCAGGGTTGTGTGTCCTGGGGAGGAGGGGGTGGTTTGGAGACAGGGGGGCAGCAGGGTTGTGTGTCCTGAGGAGGAGGGGGTGGTTTGGAGACAGGGGGGCAGCAGGGTTGTGTGTCCTGAGGAGGAGGAGGCAGAGTGTCGCTGAGGTAAAGCAACAGGCTTTCTCAGGCACCTCTCTGAGGTCACCCTGTAAACAGCCCTGGAGAGAACACACACACCATAGACACACACACACACACACACAACCTGCCAATAACCCCTGGGCTCTGTGTCTGTGTGTGTGTCTGTGTGTGTGTGTCAAATAAATCAAATCAAATCACATTTTATTGCTCACCTACACGTGTTTAGCAGATGTTATTGCGGGTGTAGCGAAATGCTTGTGCTTCTAGCTCCGACAGTGCAGTAATATCTAACAATTTCACAACATATACCCAATACACACAAATCTAAAGCAATGGAATTAAGAATATATAAATAAATATATGGACGAGCAATTTCAGAGCGGCATAGACTAAGATACAGTAGAATAGTATAGAATACAGTATATACATATGAGAGGAGTAATGCATGATATGTAAACATTATTAAAGTGACTAGTGTTCCATTTATTAAAGTGGCCAGTGATTTCTAGTCTATGTCTATAGGCAGCAGCCTCTAATGTGCTAGTGAAGGCTATTTAACAGTCTGATGGCCTTGAGATAGAAGCTGTTTTTCAGTCTCTCGGTCCCAGCTTTGATGCACCTGTACTGACCTCGCCTTCTGGATGATAGCGGGGTGAACAGGAAGTGGCTCGGGTGGTGTGTGTTAGAGCCTCAGGTTAAAAGAGTAATGGTCTCCGTCAACTCAGACGTCATCTCAGTTCACCACATGCCTAATGCACACGCACACACATACAGATTGCCTCACATGCTGATTGGGCCGACCTGCCACTTGTCCTGTTTGCTCTGACAGTCAGCATCACAGTTCATTGCTGATGAGGTGTTTGACTGGCTCGAGAGAATATGACCAAATTAGTGTGTGTGTGTGTGTGTGTGTGTGTGTGTGTGTGTGTGTGTGTGTGTGTGTGTGTGTGTGTGTGTGTGTGTGTGTGTATGTGTGTGTGTGTTCACGCGTATCACGATTGCATCTTTTTATCATAGTGAAGACTTACAGAACATAGAGAAGGGAACTAATAAAACATGAATGAGCTTACATCAGCAGCAGCTGTTGTTGCCAGTTGATGTGTGTGTGTGCCTGTGTGCGTGTGTGTTGGCGTAGGTAATATATTTACATGTAAAACAGTCCTGTCTGTCACAGGAGTGGATTTTCCTGCTCTGCTGTTCCACTGTAAAACCACAGTAACAGTAATTATACAGCTCTCTATCTCTCAACTGTTTAAAACCCCTTCAGTTCAGTTGGCCCATGGGTTTAGCAAGTGTATGTTTACTTAGTATTTTCTAATGACAGTTGAGTGACCTGAATTGAATTGGATTTATTGCAGCGGTCATTGGCGTCGGTTAGGAACACACACAAATACAATGAAAGGTTTTAGTTGTTGTATATTTAGTCATTTTTTTAGTTTGGGTGTTTTCCATCAGGCAGTTCAGCCTCTCCAGTTCATTTATCCTCTGTGATCAAAATCCAACTGTAAGAGTCGAGGATAAAGAAGGCAAATCAAAGGCATTTTTATATGAACCAGCAGCATTTCGTTTCATTGTAAAAACACACTATTTCAACTCTGCCTCTAAGAACACAGTATGTCAATGCATATGTCAGTGCATAGCTATCAATTATTGAAACATCTCCGTTGAAATGTTGTTAAAGTGTAACCGTGTAGCTACGGCACTCTCTCCTGTCTGTGTTTCTGATTGAAGTACAAATAAGATCATCTCCGCTAATGTTATTATGTTAATACATTACCATATTAGTGTTGCAGCCACAGTGTTCTTTTCCCATTTAAAACTCTGGCTCCAGTCATTGAACCAAAGCACTTTTTAATTAGGAATTTAATTACCAATAATGCACTTGATCAGCCAGACCTAATTTCATTTAGACTCAGACAAATCAGATAAACGTTGTCACTCTCTGTGTCACCGGAGGGGGGCAAATTGGTCACATTTACCCGTTTTGGTTTTGAATGAATAATTGTTTTTGGTGATTAAATCCGTTTCAAAATAATGTTTTGACTATTTAAATACATATAATGTGCAGAGGAGATGTTTATAATATTTTCTCTGCATAAAATCCAACACATTACTATTAAGTCAAAATGAAAATGATTGTAAACATTAAAGAAAATTATATTATCAAATAATAAAAACTATTACTAAAACCTATTACTAATGACTGTGTGCAAAAAAATATAAATATATTTTACCCATATTTTACCAGGTAAGTTGACTGAGAACACGTTCTCATTCACAGCAATGACCTGGGGAATAGTTATGAGACAACAAGTGTGTGTGAATTGAAATGATTTATGTCACACTACTAGCAGTGGCGTGAGGGGCCATGTAAGGGGCCCGACCAGGGAGGCACGGTGTGAGGATCAGTGCTGCAGCTGCCCTGCCAGTGTGGCAGGTAGATGACAAAATGCTAATGCTAATTTCAGCCCTGGTCTGTCTGTCTAACTGACTTATCCTGACAGATCACCCACACTGCTGCTGATCTGATTCATACACTAGTCTCATTCCCCCATAAGCACTTCTCACAGCTCAGTCACCCCTCCTCCTCTCCCTCCCTCCCTCTCTCTCCATCCCTCCCTCCCGCTGTCCGTTACTCATTCACTCACTCAGTTGTCACTCTGCCCTCCTATCAGCCTCAGTACATTTTTACAAAACTACAAACCAGCAGTGTGAGGAACTGTCTTTCTCTCTCTCTCTCTCTCTCTCTCTCTCTCTCTCTCTCTCTCTCTCTCTCTCTCTCTCTCTCTCTCTCTCTCTCTCTCTCTCTCTCTCTCTCTCTCTCTCTCTCTCTCTCTCTCTCTGAATGATACAGTTTGTTGTTGTTGGGTCTGCTGATGCTCATATGCCACCGCTGTAGACTTATTTGTCTATTTAAGATGACCATGAAAAACATATACTAAAAACTTGGGAATCAATCAATCCGCCACCATTAACACAATGGAAAAATCGAATGATTTATTATTGAAATATTGAAATAGCATGGGCGACCCAGAAAAACAAATTGGTACAATTTAAGGCCAACAATAATGCAGGTACTAGGGATGGGGGTGTGAGCATGTGGGTCTGGGCAGATGAGAATGTAGTCGTTGTTTGTGTGTGTCTGTAAGTTGTTGTTCGTATGTGTCTGTTTGTTTCTGGTGTGGGGAATATATATATATATTTTTAAACAGATAAAATATTATTAAAAAATAAGATGACCTTGAGGTGGGACAGCACACAGGTCCCAGGGCAGGGCAGGGAAACCCCCTAAAAGTCCCCCCAAGCCACCCCCTACTCTGTCTATCAACTGCCATGCTTAGGAAGGGCTAATAACACACACCGTTGTGTGGGGAAACCATGTAAATGATGCTGTCAACCTTTTCAACCAGGAGAGGCAGCCTGGCATACCTTAACGTCACCCTTTAAATAAGGTCTGTTCTCTCATTCTCATCTGTCCTATAAAATCTGTTTTATGTTTTGCCTGATTCCCTTGAGTTTTTCCCAAAATTCTCCATTTTGTTTTTCCAGGTTTCCGTTTTCCCCTGTTTATGTTTTTTTTTCACTCTCAAAATCACACTTTTTTTAAAAATAGAAAAACAACTAAATTGGATGTTGTAAGTCCACAACACTGCTTAAACCACATCAGGATACCACTCTTTAAATTTAGATTTTTGGGTGTAATTACCCTTTAATTCCAGTGTGCAAGACGCAGTTGTTTAGCAATGTTTTTGTAGAGTACATGTGATGGTAGAGTTTGCCAAACAAATACCCACTGGATTGATGCAAATAATCATGATATCATTCTGCCGGTAGGCTATTTTGTAGTTAACAATTGAGAACGTTTTTGGGATATCCTTTCCATCTACACAAAGTGGCACATAAACAGACAGGGGGAATTCTCCTTGCCTCTTCAGAAAGTTGCAGGAAATACGAATCACTGATGCATTCTGTTCATGTCTCATGATAAACTTGGGAAAATTAATAAATGTTCAGTGCATGTAGTTAATTCCCTACTAAGTTCAATACATTTTTGAATTTTGTTGAATTCTGTTTTAATTACTGGATTCCGTGATTCCGTCCGCATTCTCCGCATCGCAGATTTTATAGGGCCCTAGAAGCATCTCTCCCAATTTCATTAGGGAGAATCTACCTTCCAACCCTCCCAACTGCCTCTCTCGCTCTGCTATCATCTGGGAGGATTTTATAGAACTCACGCAGAAAAACCTTATAAAAAATATGTTGGTAACTTCAAAAAAAAATTATGAAGTCGGAAAAAAATATCTAAAAGATGTTTGAGAAAGAGCAGCCATGCACAATCTCTGGGAGACCTCCAGAAAAGGGCCAGCCAAGATTCCCAAATTAAAACGGCCGCAATTATCAGAACTCAAAATTAGAAGCAGAGAGAACGTTCTTTGGCTAATAAACATTTTTAAAATACCGCCGGGGGGACTCCATGCAACGGTTATTACTCTGACACACACACACGTTTATTGCTCCTCTGTCTTCCATTAGAAGTATGTCGTTTTATTTTTTGTTCTCAGGATGTTGTCTGTAGATTTGATTAATTCTCGATGGCAGCAGGGCTTAATGAAAGATTGGAAATGTTTTCCCTTCTTCTTCCTTCCACCCTGATACACACACACACACACACGCACACACACACACACACACACACACACACACAGACACACACACACACACACACACACATGCACACACACACAGACACACACACACACACACACATGCACACACGTTATGCTTTGCTTTCAGTTAGGCCTTTTATCTAATGGATGTCGTACTTATCAGCAACTCTGGACACATACCAGATCAGAGGGACTGGGGTAATCAATTAAGTGACCCTTCCTCTCCCGCCTTACCTCTGGCTTTTTACTCCCTCTCCCACTCCCCTCTCACCCCTGCCCTTCCTACTTCAGTTCCCAAAGGCTGTTTCCTGCCTGCCTCTCCTCACTCAGATGCACTCAAGCCCTGCCAAGACACACACACACACACACAACCAAGTGCGTGTGCACACACACACACACACACACGAGCACCGCTGAACACTCCAGAAGGTGGGGAGGATTTAAGGATCCCGGGAAGATTAAGTGCACAGCTTAGCGCTATCTGACCGCTGTCTCACGCTTTTTCTTTCCTTTTCTTCCCTATTTCCTTCCCCTCCCTCTCTCTCTCTTTCCCTGTCCTCCCTCTCTCCAGGTAGCCGAGCCTAAGCGGAGCGGAGCGGGCGGACCCTCCCTCCTCCACCTCCTCCCCCCATCTTCCTCCACCGTCCAGGTCCGTGCTGTGTGTGCGTCTATCCGCTGTGGCGGCAAAGCATGCTGGCAGTATGGACGTGAAGGAACGCAGGCCCTACTGCTCGCTGACCAAGAGCAGGCGCGAAAAGGAGCGGCGCTACACGGGCTCGTCCGGCGACAGCGAGGAGTGCGGCAGCGGCGGCGGGGGCCCGGGACCGAGGGTACCCACCCAGAAGTCGTACAGCTCCAGCGAGACGCTCAAGGCCTTCGACCACCAGGACTCCTCCAGACTATTGTACAGCAGCAGAGTGAAGGAGATGGTGCACCGTGAACAGGACGAGTACACCCGACAAGGTACTAGTTAGCCTAGTTAGTTATCCCCCTGCCGTTGTGCCTTTCAGAAAGGCACCTAGCATGCTCAATGGGCGCTGTCCTGCGGCTGACCATGTAGGCAGTGGTACTCGATTTCTTTCTACTGCTTGAGTACCGGCACCTCTTTTACCACCTTGACTATTGGCTCTAAAATATGTACTGTAAAATTAAAATATGATCAACAGTACTGTAACATTTTAATATGATCACCAGTACTGTAAAATTAAAATATGATCAACAGTACTGTAACATTTTAATATGATCACCAGTACTGTAAAATTAAAATATGATCAACAGTACTGTAACATTTTAATATGATCACCAGTACTGTAAAATTAAATTGAGTACCAGTACCTTTGTCATTCCACTTGAAGCTGTCTGTAGGTTTTACTCTGTAGCCACTGTCAGCTGTACCTGCATGAACTCCTCCTTAGGCTGGCCCCTAAGAGTTTAAGTCTGTCTCTGTTTACATACGTCTACCTCAGGTGTTTAAGTCTGTCTCTGTTTACTCACGTCTACCCCCTCAATGTTGACTTTTGCCACCGAGCTGGGCCACGGCTCAAATGTTTACCTTAGATAAGGGATAAGGGCTGACTATTCAGCTTTAAAGTGCGTTCAAGGACGCGACCCAGCCATATCACGAATCAGTTTCTGTGGATAAGGGACGAGGTGTAATTATATTTACAGTGCACTTATGTCATGAAGTAAACATGTTCTAGCTACAGTTTCAATCCAAAAAGAAGAAATCTCATTACCTCACTAGTTGGTATCTGGCTAGGTGCTGGTCCTCTGTAGCTCAGTTAGTAGAGCGTAGTGCTTGCAATGCCAGGATAGTGGGTTTGATTCCCGAGACCTGTGCGTAAATATGTATGCACGCATGGCTGTAAGTGGCTTCAGATAAAAGGGGTCTGCTAAATGGTATATAATAGTTGCTGGGTTAGGGTTGAACATGAACACTGGGGCTTGTCTAGTTGATAAGGGGATCCAGGGGTAATGTGTCAACAGGTAGATGGGGGTATCAGGGGTAAGGAAGGTGTAACAGTCTGGGTAGGTTGGGGCAGTGTATGACATCCTCCCGAAATTAACAAACATGAGACAGTTGGGCGCGGCAGGTAGCTTCGAGATTAGAGTGTTGGGCCAGTAACCAAAAGGTGCTGACAAGGTAAAAATTAAAATTGTCGCTGTGCCCTTGAGTAAGTCTAATTGCTCCAGGGGTGCTGTACAATAGCGACCCACTTGTGTGTAACAGGACAAATATAAGCACCCCCCAAATGATTATAGAGACACACTCTCTGCCTCTCGCTGGCAGAGCTAGTCACCTAAGTGGGCCACTCGGTCACTGGACTTGTTAGACAGACTTAAGCACTTTATGTTTAACTACTACACACAAGCCTCTTGGCTAAGCACCTCTTTCTGTCTCCTCGCTCAGTAACTCACTTAGTACCTTCCCTCATAGGAGCTTATGGTGACACTATGCTAAGCTAATATAGCTAGCACCGTTTGTTTATACTGTATGTTAATGTAGTGACTCCATAGAAATAGAATGAGTAGAACGGGTTTGGAACCTCTGACCTATTTGACCTGAATGGGGACACCCATTCTATTCATTTAAATTCTATGGGTTTGATGTTGACTTAAATGGTTTGGTCACTTCAGAAATAATAGCGGGACAGTATTCATTTGTGAAACTTAATGGACTAAAACTGGAATAATTAGAATTGTTGACCATCAGTGGTAAAATTATAAGATGGGATTTTTGTAATTACTTGATTTTTATAATGCACAGTGAGCGCATAGATCTGAAACTGTTTTGAACTCGTGACATTAACTGGTTTGTAGAAAGATGGAGGCAAAGCTTTTACCAGGTCCATCCATATTTTCTATAAACATAACAAAAGTACTTTGAAGTTCATTACTAGTTCATTGATTGTTCCTCCACTCCAATTAACACTTCATAAATATTGGAGAGAAAAAACTTAATTACTTTAATTATCTTATCATGTACATTTTCATTGCCACACTAATTGGCGCTCATTTAAAATTTATATAATTTTAATTGAACTGCAGTGACTATCTTAGTTATGTCTGTAATTAACAAGCCTTTATAGTCACTCTTATTCCTAGATTCAAGATTGCTCCAGACAGTATTTTATCCACAGATTTAACAGTCAATATTTTATCCTTATAATGTAAATGATCTTGGAGGAATTTGGAAGATGATTTGACCATGCTGTGAAACTTCTGTATTCTACTACCATGTGGGACATGACATGCATCAGAACCAATTCAGAATGAGGATAACTTATTTATTTTATTTTAATCTAAATCTAGTTAAATAACTCTACCCTAAATAAGATAAAGCATGTATTTGTCTGAATCTTCGACCATTAAATATTTCAAAAGAAGCCATAATTAGTGTCACTGATATGGTAATTTTACCTAGGCCTCTTGAATATAGAGCAGTTGCCTCTCATTGAGAAACATGTATTAAGTATATACTACAGTCATTTTCATAACTGCAAAAGTAGTGTGGAGTGAAACACTTTCCATTATCCCCAAAATAGTGAATATTAAGTAGTCTTGTATTAAGTTATTCACCACAAATCAGCTAAGCTGGAAGAACACGTTATCAGATGAATGTATAATAATCTAATAATAATTCAAAAGTAATATAATAACTTATTACTGAAGCAAAAACGATCACTAAATACAGTCACTAAATGATATACGATAATCACTGAATAGCGGCAGGAATAATATTTTTTACAAACATTTCACAGCATTTATAAGTAAAACAAATATATATATGTTCAGGCATGTTCTTAGCCAGCCCGTTTCTATCACCATGGCAGCTAAACCCACTGAATGGAATGCAGTCTAAATCTAAATGTAGGTGTGACATAAATGTCTTTAAGCGAGAGAAAGGAGTTTAGCTTTGCAGGAAATCATTATCTTTGGTTAAAAAAGGAACTAATGAATTATATATCACAGACTCTATTTTTAATTGTCTCTTGTTTTACCATTCCCCAACATAAAATGCAAGCCAGTTCAATTGTAGTAGAATGGTTAATAGGCCTAAGATGAATTATACAGTATATTGTTTGCTGTAGTCATAGAGATCCTATACAATTATATAGTATTCTAATTCCTAATTTTTTGCCTATAGTTGTGTTTTCATATGAGGACCCAGATAATGAAATAGTTTACTTTGATTCATGGTTACTGTGTCTTGTACAATTTGTTACAAATTTAGGAAACGTTTGTACATGATTTCCTCCAAGATATTTCTAAGAAGTACTTTGTTCTATGACATACTCTGAATTTGTATATTTATGTTGAGCAAATATTTAAATCTGTAAAACTATACATACTAAAACTATAATATGAATACATATCATTACTAATAATACAAATATTATTACGTTATTGTTTTATTATGATTATTTGTATTATGTTGTATGTTTTGATTAATTATTAGTTCTGTATAAATTAAACTAAATGAAATGTATAGTCAGTGTATGTCAAACTTAAAGGCCTTAATGTGGAACAGTTCCTTAACTGCACCCTGATGACTTCATATGGTTGTTCATGGCTGTTGTTGCTGTTTATTCTGTTGTGGTGGCGGCAGCGCCTTTGAAGTAGTGACTTTACGCTTTCAAGGCCTTGAGATATTTATGAAATCACCAACCAGATTGGAAGAGCCTTAACTACCAGTCTGTCTGCCAGGACAACATAGCAGAGCAGAGCAGCCACCATCTTCTCTCCCATCTGCACCACATTACCCCTCCCGAGAACACACATGCACGTGTGTATACGCACACAACATACACACACACACACACACAAACCATATTCCGTCTGCCTGCGAGAGGAAGACACTTTTACTAAGTCTCTGTACTATACACTTTATCTTTTAATACATTGAACAATATTTTGCCAAATATTCTCTGATTAATTTGGGGGTTTCAATAAATGGTTGCCATAGAGATTGCAGTTATTTGATTATTTCTGTGGCTCCAAATCTACTGTATTTATACTGCTTAGTTAGGCTACCTACTTACTTGTGTTTTTTTAGCAATGTAAATTAATTGTGCCTGAATTGTTTTATACAATACTAGGTCTTGAATTCCTTTCAGCCTACATAATGTTACCGCATTAGATATAACCAAAGGACAGCCACATATGAGACCAATCATTAGCACAGCAACCTCTCTCTCTCTCTCTCACTCTAGTTGATAAGTTGCAGACAGTACTGTATGTGTATTAGCTCCATGCGTTGTAAATTATTGCTGTGTACCCAGAACCCCTCCAGTCATGTTTGCCGTTTCCTACGCGCCAGCCAACATTAGTAACCCGCAAGTAATGCTTTTATAGGGCATTTATCGAGAGCCTGGCGGGCCTGGCGCTCTGCCCTCCTCCACTGAAACAGTGGCTAGCCCAATGGGCCGTTCCATGGTGCTCTTTGTTGTTGGGTTTTGCTTTAGCATTATGCAGTTTGTTAGCACTCCCCACTGGGCACAGACGTCAATTCAACGTCTATTCCAAGTTGGTTCAACATAATTTCATTGAAATTACGTAGAAACAACGTTGATTCAATCAGTGGGTCAGCACTGAAGTGCCCTTTATGTTTTCGCTTTATGTTAGCATGTTTCGAACCTTGTTTATGTTATGCTAACGAGTTCAGCTTTAGCTGCGGAATGCGTTCTGCTCTGCCTAAGCAAAATGGGCTGTATCATAGCATGTTATTTTCTGCAATAGCACTAGGCCAATGTGTTCCTTCGGGCCTATGTGCTGTTTGAGTTGTGTTTCAGCGATGATAGTGTCCCTGCAGCAATGTTCCAACATCTAGTGGAAAGCCTTCCCTGAAGAGTGGAGGCTGTTATAGCAGCAAAGGGGGATCAACTCAATATTAATGCCCAGGATTTTGATAGTGTATGTTTTGCTTTAGGAGAGATTCCCTTTTGGATGTTTTGTTTTGCGTTGGATATTTCTTTAGCGTTTGGCATGCTCCATCAACGCCTTTAGCAAGTCGTGTTTCACTGAGGTATTGTTTTAGTTGTTTCGCCATGCTCTGCTTCAGTCTTTAGAGAATGGGTAGACAAGCAGATTTTTGTCGGAGCGGATGGTTGGGTGGCGGGAACATATTTACCATAATGGTTGGTACACTGCAAACTAAGCCATAAAAGAGATTGGATTTGAAAATAACAATCCTTTCATACCTTGATTACATTGAGACACGATCACATATATCCCTTCTATTCGTGGGAATGCTTAGGAACAGATTTGCTAAAATAAACTAATTTCTATCTGAATTACTGGTGATTTTAGTGTTCAGGGGCCCCCAAAAAATTTAACTTGAGGGTGCCTGTCGCTTACCCCAGCTTTAGAGTGTCTCCCTCCATTTGATAATGAGAATTTTCCATTAAGGCATTGGTCCTATGGTGCTGAAAAAATGTTTTTTTTAGCTAGTCAGGCCTGGTCGTGGTAAGACACAACGATCGGGGTCCTGGGAGTCCAGCATGGGATCCTGGGTAACAGAATGTTAAGCCCCTGCAGATATCTGAGAGTCAGATGAAACCTGATAGTCCCTTTGTTGGACGTCTAGTAGCTAGGAGCTAGCGCTGTTTACAGAAGCTGTGTTTTCACTGGGGATTTCAGGTCAGTTGACACTACACCCCACCAACCCCCCATCATGAAAAAAAGACAGCACTTTCAATTTACGGATTTATTAGTATTTTCTCTTTCTCTCTCTTTATTTTCAAGCCCATGCAGGATCTTTTCATTGCTCAACACCTCCAGTCCAAATTACTCCCCAGATGCTAGCTATGCCCCATTTATCTGTCAGCTTCTATTTTGTTAGCACCTGGGAGGTAGCTCTCCCCCTTCTCTTCTCCGTGGCGTCACAAATGGCACCCTGTTCCCTTTATAGTGCACTACTTTTGACCAGAGCCCTATAGGCCCTGGTCAAAAGTAGTAACCCCTATTGCCTATATAGTGCACTTGGAACGCAGCCCTCTTCCCTCCCAACTTGAACCACCTATCTATCTATCTACACTATATATACAAAAGTATGTGGACACCCCTTCAAATTAGTGAATTTGGCTATTTCAGCCACATCCGTTGCTGGCAGGTGTATAAAATCGAGCACACAGCCATGCAATCTCCATAGACAAACATTGACAGTAGAATGGCCTTACTGAAGAGCTCAGTGACTTGTCCCCCCCAGAAATGGTTTGTCGAGATCGGTGTGGAAGAACTTGACTGGCCTGCACAGAGCCCTGACTTCAACCCCATCGTACAACTTTGGGATGAATTGGAACGACGACTGCGAGCCAGGCCTAATCGCCCAACATCAGTGCCCGACCTCACTAATGGTCTTATGGCTGAATGGAAGCAAGTCCCCGCAGCAATGTTCCAACATCTAGTGGAAAGACTTCCCAGAAGATTGGAGACTGTTATAGCAGCAAAGAGGGGACAAACTCAATATTAATGCCCATGATTTTGGAATGAGATGTTTGACGAGCAGGTGTCTACATACTTTTGGTCATGTAGTGTATCTATCTATCTATACAGAACAAAAATATAAACGCAACATGTAAAGTGTTCGTCCCATGTTTCATGAGTTGAAATAGAAGATCCCAGAAATCTTCCATACGCACAAAAAGCTTATTTTTCTAAAATTGTGTGCACAGATTTGTTTATATCCATGTTAGTGAGCATTTCTAATTTGCCAAAATAATCCATCCACCTGACAGGTGTGGCATATCAAGAAGCTGATTAAACAGCATGATTATTACACAGGTGCACCTTGTGCTGCGGACAATAAAATGTGCATTTTAGTCACACAACACAATGCCACAGACTTTTGATGGAGCGTGCAATTGGCATGCAGGAAAGTCCACCAGAGTCGTTTTAGAGAATTTGGCAGTACGTCCAACCGGCCTCACAACCGCAGACCACGTGTAACCATGCCAGCCCAGGACCTCCACATCTGGCTTTTTCACCTGCAGGATTGTCTGAGACCAGCCTCCCGGACAGCTGATGAAGTTGTGGGTTTGCATAACCGAAGAATTTCTGCACAAACTTTCAGAAACCGTCTCAGGGAAGCTCATCTGCGTGCTCGTCGTCCTCACCAGGGTCTTGACCTGACTGCAGTTCGGCGTCGTGACCGACTTCAGTGGGCAAACGCTCACCTTCAATGGCCACTGGCAAGCTGGAGAAGTGTGCTGTTCACGGATGAATCCCAGTTTCAACTGTACCGGGCAGATGGCAGACAGATTGTATGGCATTGTGTGGGCGAGCAGTTTGCGGATGTCAACGTTGTGAGCAGAGTGCCCCATGGTGTAGTTATGGTATGGGCAGATATAAGCTACGGACAACGAACACAATTGCATTTTATTGATGGTAATTTGAATGCACAGAGATATCGTGTACGAGATCCTGAGGCCCATTGTTGTGCCATTCATCCGCAGCCATCACCTCATGTTTCAGCATGATAATGCACAACCCCATGTCGCAAGGATCTGTACACAATTCCTGGAAGCTGAAAATGTCCAAGTTCTTCCATGGCCTGCATACTCACCAGACATGTCACCCATTGAGCATGTTTGGGATGCTCTGGATCGACGTGTACGACAGCGTGTTCCAGTTCCCGCCAATATCCAGCAACTTCGCACAGCCATTGAAGAGGAGTGGTACAACATTCCACAGGCCACAATAAACAGTGAGGGGGACTGTCTCATTGTTAGGATGGATCTGAGGGTCAGGTGGCTGGAGGTCAGAGGGGCCTTGGGTGGTGGGCAATATTAGAGCTGAGATTTGCCAGGGACCTCACGTTACGATATTATCACTATACTTAGGTGCTGATACGATATGTATTGCGATTCTCACCATTCTATATGTATTGCGATTCGATACTTTTATTTTTTGTGATTTGATGTTCCAAACATATTTCTCACTATATGTCTGCTGCAGAGGGATAAGAGAGAGCCATGAGAAAACACATTGTGATCAGTTATGAAAATACGTTTAGGTTCAGGTACAGCCAACTAGCGTAAAAGTAATATTGCGATATTGTCAAAACGATACGATATGATATATTGTCAAAAATTATATCCCCATATGTAATTGTATAGATTTTTTTCCCCATCACTAGGCGATATGGTCAGGAAGAGGTTTTAATGTGACAGATGCTCTGTTAGTGACAGGGTTGAAGATATTTTGTCTTTACTGTCACTTTACTGCATTCTCAAGTTAGATCATCTGTACTCCCTGTGTCCTCCTGTAAAAGGACACTGAATTGGTCTCCCTGGTAAATGCTAGCTCTCTGAAATACTTGACATTTAAAATAAAAGACACCAGTTCCACTCTTATTGAAACTATTGATGTCCTCAACCTTGTTCTTTGTGAAAGAGTCTTGACGATCCTTCATCTTGTTTCCCCTCCTCTCTCAAAACTCCCTTCATTCTACCTTGTGCTTCCTGTATTCTCTTGTAAAGGGCACTAGTTTTTCCTTATGTAACATAAATGTTTTGGAGGACATTTAATGACCGGTTCAGGGCTGTATTCTTGACAACTTCCATCTTGTTTCCTCTCTTCTCTCAAAACTCCCTTTATTCTACCTTGTACTTCCTGTATTCTCTTGTAAAGGGGCACTAGTTTTTCCTTTGGAGGACATTTAATGACCAGTATACATGTTCAGGGCTGTAGTCTTGACGACGTCCATCTTGTTTCCTCTCCTCTTCTCAGGGCAGAACTTCAACCTAAGACAACTGGGGATCTGCGAGCCGTCCACGCGCCGCGGCCTGGCCTTCTGCGCCGAGATGGGCCTCCCCCACCGCGGCTACTCGGTCGGCGCCGGCTCCGACGTGGACACCGAGAACGAGGGCGTGATGTCACCGGAGCGCGCCATGCGGCTGTGGGGCCGTGGGGTGAAGTCGGGCGGCCGGAGCTCGTGCCTGTCCAGCCGGTCCAACTCGGCCCTGACCCTCACCGACACGGAGCACGAAAACAAGTCGGACAGCGAGAATGGTAAGTCCGGTCGGCGTGCACGACACACCTTTTATTTCCTCACTTGGCTCGGCCCACCTTCAGGACAGGAGCGTGCACGGCCCAACATCGTGCACACTCCCCGGCACGTCCACTGACACTGAGAGATCAGTGAAACACAGTTGATGGGAAAGAATGTTGAATGAGAGTTGGTGTCGCTCAGCGTTCCTTTCCCCTTGTGACCACTTCACTTGAGAAGATGCAGCTGTGAACTTGACAATGAGAGAATTTGAGTGAACTCAATAATTAGTGGGAATGTGTGTGTGTGTACTGTAAGAGTGTGTCGGCATGTTCATTGAAGCCCTCTGATTGGTGAAGGTGAAGGGCTAAGGCGTGGTGACAGACAGAGCAGAGCACGTGTTGCTCTTAGCAACGTTTGGATTATGACTCTCAGGGTTTGACTTTGTTCTGGAGACAAAAGTGAAGCAAGAGAGAGAACCCTGTCACCTGTTCTCTGCCCTCTACACCCCCTCTCCTCTCCTCTGCTCCCTCTCTCTCCCCGAGCTGCCAACCTTTTTTTTGATTAAGTTTCCCCCGGTGGCCCCTAGAGCGCCATCACAGATAGCTTTGTGACTCTGTCTCTGTCTCTGTCTCTCTCTCTCTGTATCTCTCGGTCTCTCTCCCACATTAACCCCTTTCCCTCACAGCCATTATTTCAGCTCCAGACTTACACTCCTCTCTCCCATCTGCCCTTTCTCCTTCCCCCCCCCCCCCCCCCCCCCCCAAGTCTCTCTCCTTCTTCTCTCTCTCTGGTTCATCTAGCCCAGTGGTAGGAGTGTATCTCTGGTTGAATGAGCACACACAATGGTTGATTAGCAGGCCTTGGCGGTTTGAAGTGCACGTGTGTGGGGTTTGAACGAGAGGAGGAGCGGCACTCTTCTTTTGCTCTTTTCTCCTCTATCACTCTCACCCCATCTCTTCTCTCAAAGCACCCGTGACTATTTCGTTTTGTGTTATTTTTCAAAGAGCACTTGTGTGACAGGTGCCGTTTTAAGGCGCTCTTTGGCACTCTAAACCAAAGCATTTGTTTGCAAGTTGGAAATTGTTCCGACACCCACACGTTATTTTGGTATCTAATTTTAATTGATGTTTCTTTAGATCATATAGAATGGAAATGTGTCAAACTATTGGGAGTAAGAAAACAACAACGTAAGAAGAAATCTGCTGACAATGTTAGATGCGTACCTTTAAAGACATAAAATGAAAAATATTTTAATGAACATAATTAACAATCTACATTTTACCTGCATCTTCATTAAACTACATTCATTAGTCTGTCTCTAGATACCTCTGCTTACAGGTGCTGGGCTAACCTGTAAAATGTAGACTAGGACTCATCAAATCCCAATGGTTCCAGTGATATAAAGTTCTTATACAACCACTTTCATTAAGAGTTCTTATACCTTCATTAACACCTCTTTGGCTTAATTAAGAAAATAATTAACTATAAAGTGCTGAAGTTGTGTGTATATATATTAAATACCATTCTACTGTGAGTTTGTATGCCCCAGAGTAGAGACAGGCCCAGCTAGGACAAAATTAGTAGTAGTTGAAATAGATTTAGTCTTAAAATAGTTTATGTTAGGAAAAGGAATTCAGCTGTTATTGCGTTGGTGTGTGTGTGTGTGTGTGTGTGTGTGTGTGTGTGTGTGTGTGTGTGTGTGTGTGTGTGTGTGTGTGTGTATATGTATATGCATGTATTTATGTGTATAAGCCTCTCAGACAGGTTCTGAGTGTCATGTTTGCACTGAGGCCTGGCCATTGTTTAGGCCTGGTGTTCAATAGTGTTGTAGTGAATCTGCAGTTGTCTCGTTAAACTAGGGCATATGTTTTAGGTGTTCCAGTTTCCCAGCTAACAGCTAACCAGTGACAGGTGTGGCCCTGCAAAATACACAGATTACACAGAGACTGGAAAGAGCTCATAACATTAAACAGAGTGGTATGGATAGAGTGGGTGTGTGAGTGCACTGGTGGCACCAGGAATTTTTACTGCCGTAGCGTGTTTGAAAATCCAGCCGATAACAGGATAAAGAATAAAGATGGTAACTGTTCTCTGTCAGAAGTAGGGGGCTGTGAAATCCAAGGTTGCTGGGCCACGGACCCCCCTGTCTATTCACTTTAAAGGCATACACACAGACGCACACAGACACACTCTCTCTCCTGTCCCTTCCCCAGCCATATCAAAAGGCTTCCTGTTTACATGCGCTTGGCGTCACGTAACCAGAGCCGTGGAAGAGAGTGATTGACAGTCTTCTCCACCCTCCCCCTGTCCTTCGCTCTCTCCATCTCTCCATCCCAAGGTTAAAGCTTTTCAGCACCCAAAGCCAGTGAGCTCACTGAAATTCTAAATGAGGAGTTACAGTCAGCATCAGAATGGGTATTTAATAATAAACTGGTCTTAAATACAGCTAACACTAAAAGCATTGTATTTGGTTCAAGTTATTCTCTAAGACCTAAACCTCAACTTGAAGGGTGTGACCATTGAGCAAGTTGAGGAAGCTAAACTCCTAGGTATAACATTGGATTATCAATTATCATGGTCAAGTCATATTGACATAGTTGATTAGAAAACAGGGAGGGGTATGTCTTTTATAAAAACATGTTCTGCGTTTTGTCACGATCGTCGGGAAGAGAGGAGGACCAAGGCGCAGCGTTGAATGCGAACATATTTATTTATATAATGATCACACGATCAAAACAACAAATGAAAACGTGACGTCCCTGGTTACATACACAAACCAACACGGAACAAGAAACCACAATGAATGAATGCCTAACGGCTACCTAAGTATGACTCCCAATCAGAGACAACGAGCTACAGCCGTCTCCGATTGGGAGCCACCCTGGCCAACATAGATATACAACAACTAGAACCAACACACATGAAAACTCACACCCTGGCTCAACATACTAGAGTCCCCAGAGCCAGGGCGTGACACGTTTCTAACACAAAAATCAGCTGTACTAGTTGTTCAGGCTCTGGTCTTGTCCCATCTTGATTACTGTCCTGTAATATGGTCAAGTGCAGCAAAGAAAGACCTAGAAAAGCTGCAGCTGGCTCAAAACAGAGAGCACGCCTTGCCCGTAACTTCACATACAGAACTAACATCAACAACATGCATGCCAGTCTTTCCTGGTTGAGGGTTGACAAGTGATTAACTGCTTCGCTTCTAGTTTTTATGAGAAATATTACTGTGATGAAAATTCCAGATTGTCTGCATAATCAAAATACATTGAGCTCAGACACCCATACATACCCCACAATACATGCCACCAGGGGTCTCTTCACAGTCCCCAAGTCCAAAACGAACTCACGGAAACGGCCAGTATTATACAGAGCCATGATCGCATGGAACTCCCTTCCATCTCCAATCACTTTTTTGTATATCGTTGTATTTGACATTTGTGTGACTGTCCTTGTCTATCAGTGCATCAGTGTTCTGTTACTTGTCATGTTTTAGGTTTTTGTGGACCCCAGGAAGAATTGCTGCTGCTTCGGCAAAAGCTAATGGGGATCCAAATAAATCAAAACCAAAAGCTGAAGCTTTTCACCAGCAGACCGACAGTAAAGTTACACACACAAAAGCACATGTACACATGCTCCCATATACACACACACACACACACACACACACACACACACACACACACACACATTACAGTCAGTCTGTGCTTATACGACGGGGCTACCAGCCCGTTTCACTCTGCCTGACGACCGTCGACAACTTCAAACGTTCCAGGAACTAATTCCATTTAGGAGAGTTGGGATAAAGGCAGGATAATCTAATGCAGTCTGTGACCAACCGCGAAGGAAGGAGCCGCCGTCATCCCTCCATCGTCCGTCTGTTTCTGTCACACTCCTCTCTTCATTATTGTTCCTCAGGGAAGTTTTCCTTTCACTTTTTATATTTTTTAAACTTTCTGCCTTTTTCCGCTTTAACAGAGAACCCATACGACATTAAGTAAATACACACCAAACCAGAACAAAACAGGATAAAAGTTTTCATGGTGTCCCTACTCCCTAGCCTGCATCCCTGAGTCTTTTGACTGCCGTTTCTGTAACCGAGACGAAACCCTGGGTGGACACAGGAGTCACCTGAGCACCGTGCTCTGTTGTGTGGTTCTTTGTTGTGGAAGACGAGGGGAAGAGAAGGAGACAGAAAACAAAGAGAGAGAAAGAGAGACGGAACACAAAAGAGACGTCTCTGGTGTTTGTGTTTCCTGGGGGAACATGAGATGCGCCCCCTCGCCCTCCTTGACCGCCTCACCCCTCGTGCCCATCGGTACCATAGAGTGCCGTGCCTGCCACCCGCCATGAGCCACAGGAGACAGACACCGGGTTAGGCATGAAAGAGAGAGAGAGAGAACATGGATGAGAGAAAAGGGCGATCTGACCGCACACACGTCTTCTGTTTCTCACGTCTCTTGTGGATTGGGCTGTAAATTGTCTGGGGAGAAACCAATCAAACAATCTCCCTGCTGTCTCCCTTCAGCTGGCCTATCTTAAAAACGCAGACAAAAAAACAGTTAAGAATTGTGCAGAAGTGTTAGGGTTTTTTCTCAATAATGAAAAAGTTAAGATACACAGTAATGTACATGTGCACACACACACACACACACACACTGCTTAAAATATGTCCAACGTCACACACACACACCCCGCTGCTCACTCCCTTTTCTCGCTAGCCATAATCGGGGTCTCTAACCTACACAGATGAGCGGTTTAAAAATGCTTATTGTAGAGGTCTGTGGCTTCCCCTTTAATGAGATTTAAAAAATATGTGTCAACAGCAATCTAAATCCTGTGAATATCTTAACTGGCTTAGCTCAGCCTGGACACTCAGTCTCAGCTACTGTCAGCTAGTTATCCCCCAGGATCTGTGGCAGCCTGGACCCTCAGTCTCAGCTACTGTCAGCTAGTTATCCCCCAGGATCTGTGGCAGCCTGGACACTCAGTCTCAGCTACTGTCAGCTAGTTATCCCCCCAGGATCTGTGGCAGCCTGGACCCTCAATCTCAGCTACTGTCAGCTAGTTATCCCCCCAGGATCTGTGGCAGCCTGGACAGTCAGTCTCAGCTACTGTCAGCTAGTTATCCCC